TAGTACTAGAAGTCCTAGACTCAGCAATCAGACAACAAAAAGAAATTAAAGAAATCCAAATCAGCAAACAAGAAGTCAAACTATCCCTCTTTGCAGATGATATGATACTATTATGTGGAAAACCCAACAAAAGACTCCACTCCAAAACTGCTAGAACTTGTACAGGAATTCAATAAAGTGTCAGAATATAAAATCAATGCACAGAAATCAGTTGCACTTCTTTACGCCAACAACAAGACAGAAGAAAGAGAAATTAGGGAGTCCATCCCATTTACAATTGCACCCAAAACCATAAGATACCTAGGAATAAGAGGCAAAACCATAAGATACCTAGGAATAAGAGGCAAACTATAAAGTACTCATGAAAGAAATTGAGGAAGACACAAAGAAATGGAAAAATGTTCCATGCTCCTGGATTGGAAGAACAAATATTGTGAAAATGTCTAGGCTACCTAAAGCAATCTACACATTTAATGCAATCCCTATCAAAATACCATCCATTTTTTTCAAAGAAATGGAACAAATAATCCTTAAATTTATATGGAACTAGAAAAGACGTCAAATAGCCAAAGGAATATTGAAAAAGAAAGCCAAAGATGGTGGCATCACAATTCCAGACTTCAAGCTCTATTACAAAGCTGTCATCATCAAGACAGTATGGTACTTGCACAAAAACAGACACATAGATCAATGGAACAGAATAGAGAGTGAGCCCAGAAATAGACCCTCAACTCTATGGTCAACTAATCTTTGATAAAGCAGGAAAGAATGTCCAATGGAAAAAAGACAGTCTCTTCAACAAATGGTGTTGGGAAAATTGGACAGCCACATGCAGAAATATGAAACTGGACTATTTCCTTACACCACACATGAAAATAGACTCAAAATGGATGAAGGACCTCAATGTGAGGAAGGAATCCATTAAAATCCTTGAGGAGAATACAGGCAGCAACCTCTTCGACCTCAGCCACAGCAACTTCTTCCTAGGAACAGTGCCAAAGGCAAGGGAAACAAGGGCAAAAATGAACTATTGGGATTTCATCAAGATCAAAAGCTTTTGCACAGCAAAGGAAACAGTTAACAAAACCAAAAGACAACTGACAGAATGGGAGAAGATATTTGCAAATGACACATCAGATAAAGGGCTAGTATTCAAAATCTATAAAGAGCTTAGCAATCTCAACATCCAAAGAATAATCCAATCAAGAAATGGGCAGAGGACATGAACAGATATTTCTGCAAAGAAGACATCCAGATGGCCAACAGACACATGAAAAAGTGCTCCATATCACTCAGCATCAGGGAAATAGAAATCAAAACCACAATGAGATGCCACCTCACACCAGTCAGAATGGCTAAAATCAACAAGTCAGGAAATGACAGATGCTGGCGAGGATGCGGAGAAAGGGGAACCCTCCTACACTGTTGGTGGGAATGCAAGCTAATAATACATTATATGTTTTTAAAAAAATAGAAAAAATTTTTTAAAAAGAAAAAAAAGATGGAAAAGTATTCTATGCTCATGGATTGGAAGAATAAATATTGTTAAAATGTCTATACTGCCCAGAGCAATATATACTTTCAATGCCATCCCGATCAAAATTCCACTGGCATTTTTCAAAGTGCTAGAACAAATAATCCTAAAATTTGTATGGAACCATAAAAGACTCTGAATTGATAAGGAAATGTGAAAAAGAAAAACAAAGCTGAGGCATCACATTGCCTGGTTTCAAGATTTACTACAAAGCTGTGATCACCAAGACAGCATGGTACTGACACAGAAACAGACACATAGACCAAAAATACAGAGTAGAGCCCAGATATGGACCCGCAATGCTAAGGTCAAATAATCAACAAAGCAGAAAAAAATATGCAGTGGAAAAAAGACAGTCTCTTCAATAAAGGGTGCTGGGGAAATTGGACAGCTATGCATAGAAGAAAGAAACTCAACCATTCTCTTACACCATATACAAAGACAAACTTGAAATGGATAAAAGACCTCAATGTGAGGCAGGAATCTATCAAAATCCTAGAGGAGAATATAGGCAATAACCTCTTCAACATCAGCCACAGCAACTTTTTCAAGACATGTCTCCAAAGGCAAAGGAAACAAAAGCAAAAATGAACTTTTGGGACTTCAATGAAGATAAAAAGCTTCTGCACAGCAAAGGAAACAGCCAACAAAACAAAGAGGCCACCCACAGAATGGGAGAAGAGATTCGCAAATGACACTATAGACAAAGGGCTGATATCCAAAATCTATAAAGAACTCCTAAAACTCAACACACACAAAACAGATAATCACGTCAAAAAATGGCAGAAGACATGAACAGGAACTTCTCCAAAAAGGACATACAAATGGCTAACAGACATGTGAAAAAATGTTCATCATCTTTAGCCATCAGGGAGATTCAAATCAAAACCACACTGAGATACAACCTTATACCAGTTAGAATGGCCAAAACTAACAAGACAAGAAACAAGTGTTGAAGAGAATGTGGAGAAAGGGAAAACCTCTTAAACTGTTGGGGGGAATGCAACTTGGCACAGCCACTTTGGAAAACAGTCTGGAGATTCCTTAAGAAATGAAAAATAGAGCTACCCAAGGCCCTGCAACCGCACTACTGGGAATTTACCCCAAAGATACAGATTTGGTGAAAAGAAGGGCCATATGTACCTCAATGTTCATAGCAGCAATGGCCACAATCGCCAAACTGTGGGAAGAGCCAAGATGCCCTTCAAATGTTGAATGGGTAAAGAGGATATAGTTCATATATACAATGGAGTATTATGTCTCCATCAGAAAGGATGAATACCCAACTTTTGTATCAACATGGATGGGACAGGAAGAGATTATGCTGAGTAAAATTAAGCTGAGAGAGTCAATTATCATATGGTTTCACTTACTTGTGGAGCATAAGGAATAACATGGAGGACATTAGGAGAAGGAAAGGAAAAGTGAATTTGAGTAATCAGGAGGGGAGGAGGAACCATGAGAGACTGTGGACTCTGAAACAAACTGAGGGCTTTGGAGGGGAGGAAGGTGAGGGTTATGGGTAAACCCGGTGGTGGGAATTAAGGAGGGCAGGTACTGCATGCAGCACTGGGTGTGGTGCATAATCACTGAATCTTAGAACACTGAAAAAATAAAATTAAATTTTAAAAAAGGAAAAAAAAATGCTCCAACATAAAAAAATAAAATAAAATAAAAAAATAAAAAGGTTTTCTTGGCATTACTATATATTCATATTCACTAAGCTTAACTAAGTACCAAGGTCCCAATAACCATTGTCAGATTTTCCTTCATTCTCCTCAGTAACAATTCAGAATCTTGACACTTCTCCTGCCAATCATCCCATGTAACCTACAAGTCACTTTGGTTTCAGATCACCTGTACCCATCCTCATTCCTTCTCTTTATTTCCAGAAGATAACTACTTCTGTTGTTGAAAGCACACCCTTACACTTGTGCTACCTATCCCATCTGTGCCATATATTGAAAATATATACTTTTCCAATCCTGTTATTTCAAACTATTCCTCTCTATTGTTTTTTTACTTTAATCCTATTAAAAAGTTTATTATGAAACCATTACCTTCATAAATAATTCTCCCTTGACCTTGTTTCCTACTCTCACTGTTTTTTATATATTTTCAATTCTCAACGGATTCTACCAAAAGAGTAGTCTACACATAGTTTCTCCACTTTATCAATTCTTATTCACCCTGAAACTACTCTGGAAAAGATTCAAAGCCACCACAATGTCAGATCCAAAAGGCAATTTTAAAATCATTGCCTTGGACTTCAGCCATTATTTTGAAAACTCTGACCAGTTAGTCTAATCACTTAATTTATATCACACGTCACTCTTCTGCTTCTCTTCTTACCTCCCTAACCCTTCCAGCTTGATCTTCCATGTTGGCCACTCTTTTTTATTATCCTTATCTCAGAAATATTGATGTTTTTTAGGATTCAGTCTTCAGTCACCAGTCTATTTATAAGCACTCTATAAACTCTTTTTCTATATTACAACCAAACTATTGATTACTGCTAAATCTATATCCTTTTGTCATCCTCTCCTCGGAGATTCAAATTCCTGTATTCATATAGTTAATGGAGAAAATCCGCTTGGATATCTTATAAGGCACTGCAAACCAAACTCTCCCCTTCCTCACACATATATTTCACTTGTTTCTCATTTAATTAATTATAAACTACCCATTTTCTTAAGCAACAACTAAATTATCCACAGTTTTTCTCAATCACTCTAACAAATCCACCTTTGAAGTCTACTGAATTTTTCTTTCCTGTGCTATGACCAATGCCATTGTTCAAGCCACCATCATCCCTCATGTTTATAATCAGATACCTACCTCAACTTCTGCTTCCTTAAAAACCACCTAAACTCTCAATGAGACTGTAAAGTACATGCTTCAAAACATTTTTGGCTTCCAATATCCTTATCATGGCATTACAGATCTTCTACAACCTGGCTCCTGCCTATTTTCCAAAATCTCTTATTTCTATCCTCCAGAAATACACTCTTTAGTAATTCATGTGGACTTCTTGCACACCACAGAATTCACTGTCTCAAACCCCCATGTTTTGCAAATGATTTCCTCTAAACAGAGGAAATCTCTAAACTACCTCATTTCTTTGCAGAGCTCACAAGGTATCTCCTGTCAAGCTACAAATTATCTTTTACCTCTTTCCAAAAAACCTTCCTTGATTTCCAAAGAATATTATTTACACATTTATTACAATACTATATTATAATAAAATTCCCCCTTTCTCCATTAGTTTGTCTGAATATGCAAATTCACTGTGAACCATGGTTTACCTTTGTATACCTGTGCTTTTACCCAAAAATCAGTATACAATTAGTAACACATATATACAGATATCAGTACACATTTGAATTGAAATGATTCTATTCATACCTATTTTCAAAAATCAAGAAACCAAACAATTAAAATTTGAAAGGATAAAATAGTTACTTACTGTTTTGTGAGATGGACAAAATATGGCTTTCCTTTTATTGTAATGATATAAGCAATCTGTAACATGAGTATCCAAAAAATCAGAATAATACTTGCAAATAATTTATCCCAAATAATGTTTTTTTCTGAGTTATGCTTTAAAAAAATACTGATAAAATTAATAATTATTGTATAACCATTATATATGCTTCCCTAAATTGAGAACTACATACTAGTCCCCACAGGCCTATTATTCACCCTAACACTTCTGAGGGAAAAGTTTGCCTGATGATTGTTATCCTTTGGCTTAGACATATATCACCCTTCGCTATGCCCAAAGCAAATACCAAAGATACTACCTCACTTGAAAGAACATATTACTTGTTTACTCCCAGACCTACCAAAAAGTAAATTGGAAGAAATACTGCTCCATGGAAGAAATACTCCTAAAAGATAGCACTATAAGAAATGCACTATACCTCTAGCAATATAACATAGTAAAGTACCATTGCACTTTGCTTATCCACATAAGTAATGGCATGCCTCTGGAATAGAATGTAGGAGATGAAAGAGGAGGAGCAGAGACATATCCAGAGAACCCACCAGAAGACAACAGAAAATAAAAGATTCACAAAATTATTTATTTTGTTAATTTTTAAAAATTATTTTAACAAGAGAAATAGCCATTGAAAAGTTTTCAGGTCCTCAACTTTGTATTATAACACCACAAGATTCTTTGCAACAGATGAATATTCTGAAGAGTAATTTGAATGACACTGTAGAAATCTGGTGAGGTTCCTGAGAATTGTCCCCTCTAAAAATACCATTATTAAACAAATATGATGAAAAATAAAAGGGAATATGATAGCATCAATAAAATTTTAAATCCACATAGCTTACAAAACAAAACAAAACAATTGTCAGTAAGAGAAAAGAAACTTCAAAGACATCATCTAGAGCTTCTATAATGTTTCAAACACAACATCCAAATGTTTGGGTTGAATTGTCGCCCTCCTTCCAAATTTATTTGTGAATTCCTAACCAAGGACCTTGGAATATGATTTTATTCAAAGATAGCATCCTTATAGAAGTAGTTAAGTTAGGTTACTAGGTTGGGTCTTAATCCAATATGACTGGTGTCCTTATAAAGAGGGGAAATTTAAACACAGACATACACAAAGGGGAATGCCATGTGAAGATTTGCAGGGAGAAGACTCTATCTATAAGCCAAGGAGAGATGCCTGAGGCAGATTCCTCCTCCCAGTCTTCAGAAAGAACCAACCCTGCCAACATTCTGATCTTGGACTTCTAGCCTCTTTTGTTGAACTGTGAGACAATAACATTTCTGTTGATTAAGCCACATGGCTTGTGTTACTTTTTAAGCATTCCTTTGAAAGCAATACACCTATTTTCAATAAAAAATTATAAGAAATGCACAATAACAGGATCAAATTACCAAAAACCAAATAAAAAAAAAATAGGGAGTTATAACAAAGCTACAGGTAATATGTATATTAACCATGACTTGCGAGAAAAATATGGAGAATTTCAGAAAGGTAGAATATCTAATAAACAAACTGAAATTCTAGAGCAGAAAAAATGTAATACCTGCTACTAAAAATTCAATAGAAAGGGTTTGACAGAAGATCAGATGGAGTAGAAGACAGAATTGGCAAACAGGAATACCAATAAGTAGAAAATACTCAGATTGAAGTACAAAGAAAAAAATACCAAGAAGAAAATAAGAGAAGTGTAACCCATTAAAAACATCTAACATTCATGTAATTATAGTCCAAGAAAAACAAGAGAAGATAGAGACCAGGAAAGAAAAATTTGAGGAATTAATCCCGAGATTTTCCAAAGCTTATTATGAAAGGTATCAACCCACACTCTCCTACTCTTATTAATCCAAATCCAAAATACAAAGAAAACAAACCTAGGCATATCATACTCAAACAACTAAAACAAAAAGACAGAAGCACATATTTAAACAGCAACAAGAGAGAAAGGGAACATTATTTCCAAAAGACTTTTAAATAAGTATGTCTAAGTCTCCCACAGAAACAATGAACCTAGCAGGCAAAGGAATGACATCTTTAAAGTCCTGAAAGAAAATGATAGTCAACCAAGAGCTTATATCCAGGAAAAATACCCAGCAGATATGCAAGCAAAATAAACATATTTCTTCAAAAAGAAAATGAGAGAATTCATTGCCAGCACACCTGCACTGAAAGAAATACTAAAAATACTGTGTTCTTTTTATAAATAGGAAATTGCTTCAAGATAGAATCATGAAAAATGTAAGAGAATGAAAACCATAGGAGAAAATAAGTTGCCAATAAATTTAAGTGAATATCATTTGTTTTAAATAGTGATAATAAGCGCTTTTGGCATTAAAAAAATACATAGTTGTAAAGTAGATAATAATGGCACAAATGACAAAAAGAACATAAATAAGGAGTAAAGTTTTAAGGTCCATGAGTTATTCAGGGAATGGTAAAAATATAAATTTATTAATCACAAGGGTAGTCATTAAAAGAATAATAAAAGAATGCATCAATAATAGCCTAAAAAGATAAATTAGGATAATAATCACATCATGGATTATAAATAACAGAGGAAAGGAAAAATTAAGAAAAACAAAGTGGGTTTAAAAATAATAATTATATGGGATGCTTCTGTGTTTTAGTCAGTTAAGCAGGTGACTCAGTTTCAGCTGGGGTCATGATATCAGGCTCATGGAATCCAGTCCTGCACTGGGCTCCACACTCAGCACAGAATCTGCTTGAGATCTCTCTCTTCCAATTTGCTCTTTCTTTCTCTCTCTCTCCAATAAATAAATAAAACAAACCTTTAAAAAAATTGTTATTATTATACACTTCATAAATAGAGACATTTTAAACATAAAAGACTGAAAATAAAAGGATTAAAAATTCTACTATGCAAACAATACCCAAAAGAATGATAGTGTGGCTATATTAATAGCAAGCAATATAATAATAAAATTGAAAATGAATTATAAAAAACAAAGGTGGACATTTTATAATGACAAAAGCATTAATTAAAAGCTAAAATTCTATATCTTAAACATTTCACACAATTAATATTATATCCCCAAAATATATAAAACAAAAACTGATGAAATTAAGAAAAATTATATTCAATTCAAAAGTATATGTGATTTTATAATTACATCAGTTACGTTAAGGACCAAGAGAAATATCAGTAGGGCTACAAAGATTCGGACAGCACTGTCAATTAATATTCTCTGACATATATGCAACACTACACATAATCAATGAAAAATAAATATTCAAATGCACATATAACATTTATCAAAATATCTCACATGAAGGATAATAAAACAATTCTCATCAACTTTTGATAATCCAGCTTATATTCATAGATAAATAGCAATTAGAAAATAATGAAAGAAACACCACCATTTGTCGCAGCATTAAAATATGTCCAAAAAACCTGAGAATAACTATAACAAAAGGTTTTCAAGACATCTACACCAAAAACTACTAAGACTTATTGAAAGAAAACCTAAAATATATGGAAAGATATACAGGTACATGAATTAGAAGACTCAAAATTGTTCAATTTCCCCTAAGTTGATCCATAGATTCAATGAAAACTCAGTAAAATCATAGCAGGTCACTTGTGGATATGAACAAGTTAACTGAGCTTAGAATAGTCAAGACAAAAATATATTTAAAAAAAAAAAAGTAGAGGTGTCTACACCAACCTGTGTGGACTTAATAAAGCTACAGTAATTAAGGCAGTGGAATATGGGCCAAAGTTTTAAACAACAGTCCAATGGTACAGAATAAAAAATCCTGAAAGTGCCACAAATATGTATTTATCTGATCTTCAGTAAAGTCACCACTGTAATCTGAGGAGGATAAACACTCTTCCATACATGCTGCTCAGTATCCATACGGAAAAAACAATGAACTTTGACTTCTCTATCTCACGATAGGAAAAAAAAAAATCCAGATAGATCACGGTCTAAATGTTACAAGGAATATAAAGCTCCCACAAGGGGCACCTGTGTGGCCCAGTGGGTTGAAGCCTCTGCCTTCAGCCCGGGTCATGATCCCAGGGTCCTGGGATGGAGCCCCGCATCATCAGGCTCTATGCTCAGCGGGGAGCCAGCTTCCCCCTCTCTCTCTGCCTGCCTCTCTGCCTACTTGTGATCTCTGTCTGTCAAATAAAAATAAATAAATAAAGCTCCCACCAAAAAAAAAAAAAAAAAAGTAACAAATGCAATGACCACCCTATCATATCTACAGGTCTCACTGATCCTCAAGAGGAGGGAATTATACAGGGTGCACATCAAGAAGTAGGACTCTTGAAGGACATCTCAGAATTCTGTCTACTGCAATATAATACAAATGTATATACAGATATAAAGAAATATATCAGATACACAGGTATGGTTATCATTAGATGGAAAAAGGAAATGGGAAGGGGGACCAGGAATAAGGGAAAAATTACACTAATAAGGGGCTTGATGGGACCATTAATCACAGTGTGCTATGAAATTGAAGGAGTGTAGTATACATCTGTGCCTAAGGACTAAAACATCCTCTCTGCAGTATTTCAAAAACACTAAATTTCAATCAAATTAATCACAGAAACTGAAATATAAATCCCTCTTATGAACATATTACATCATTGCCAGAAGGAATTGGCAGACATTCTGCAGCACACTGATAATTGTTCCTAACTAAGCAGAAATTAATGAATTTCCCACCTTCACTCTTTTATATGGGGGCAGGGTGGTTGGGGGGATGCAAGGATCTCAAAAACATTCTAGGTCATATTTTGTACATGGATATGTTTTCTTTAGTTTGCTCTATTATCAAAACTTATAGTTGCAGGAATGATGAAAAAGATTTTTCATATTATTCATTTTGGTTGTTCTTGTGGAAGGAATTATGTATATCACCATCATTCACAAAATTCATCTAAAATAGAACAAGGAGTCTGGTGGTTGTGGTGGGAATAAGTATCCAAACATTATTATGTAAATAAAACTCAGCAACATGTAAACACTACACCACCCCTAT